AAGCAGCTGTTCATTCCATGAATAAGACCAAAGGCTTTTTTATTACTATTATCAGCACACTGCTGTAGTGATTACAGAAAACTCTTCCAGACGAGACTTCACACTGTCCAAACTGTTAATAATGAGGTGGATTTTGATAAGCCTTTACCATTTTAATTTACTTCTATTTCTCATATCAGAAGAGAAAAAAAAACCTTTAATGAGCGGTTAACAAGTTAGAGAACTCATTTTTTTAAAAATGTAAAGCGGTGCTGTTAGAGGTGTATGTGCATAAAATGATTGCAAGCCCTGATGAAATGGTATTCTATTAGCTGAGTGTAGAACATTCCTTCTTGTTCAAGGTTCCCCAGCATGACTCCACAGTCTGGTTATGAGTCCAAGACAGCTGCTTGACCTTGTGCTTGTGCATGTGTGTATGTATGTTTGAGCGGTACGTGAATGTCCAAGAATGTACAGCATGCAGAAGCACATGCATGTGTGTTTATGAGCGCAGTTTGACAGAGGCGCTCTGCCCTCTGGGCGTGTCACACAAATTGATACCAGAAACATACTGACCCCTAATGTGTAAAAGAGACATCCAAGAATTTAAACACAACACTGACCTTAGGTTTGACTCCACAGGGCCCAGTGGGGCCCCCCAGTGGCTGGAAAGTAAAGTCCTCTGCAAATCTGGAATGTGTCAGTATGTTGGCCACCTCTCCATCCACCTCCACAACTTCATTGGCCTACAAAATACATCCAAATCTGAAATCATTTGCTCAGTTTAAGCGAGTAGAAGGCTGATGTATATTCTAATTCAGAATATACAGACCATGAAGGTGTATTGACAGTCAAACTGGAAACTATCCTCTGCCCCTGTAATGCCACCATTATATATGACTTTGCAGTTCTTGGTGTTCCCCTTGGGGACCTTAAACAAGCGGTATGTGGCAGAAACAAACTTGAAGTCACCTGTATTAAACACACAAGATTGAAATTAAAAAAATAAATAAATTTCAGGTCATACAAGAAGGTTAGCAGCTCTCAAAATGTAAAATAACTTGGAATCTTGTAATGTTACATTAGTTGTAACTGTAGCTACATAAATATAGGTTAGGAGAAAACCAGCAGTGACATAATAGTGCAAGCTAACTTAGTAATGTTTATTTGTAGGGTTAATCTATAAAATGTTCTTCTTTAAGTACTTGTGCAAAAGATTCTCTGATAGCATCATTCATGTCGATTGTGCCTGTATGCACAACTGACATGAATGTCACTGGATATTTACTCTTTTCCAGAGCTCTGTAAACTCCAAAGATGGCAGTGTGGGAAAATCCCAGTAGATCATCAATTTCTGAAATAATCATACCAGCTTATCTGGCACTAACAACCACGCCACATTCAAAGTTACCTAAATCACCTTCCCCCCCCCAATTCTGATGCTCGGTCTGAACTTCAGCAGGTCATCATGACCATGTCGACATGCCTATGCGCACCGAGCTGCAGCCATGGGATTTACTGACTAGATATTTGCAATAAAAAGCAGCTGAACAGATGTACCTAACAAAGTGGCTGTTGAGTGTAATTCTGTATCAAGCAAATAATGCAAAAGTCAAGCAAGTAAAAAAGCTGTCAAACCAAGAATGTCCTGCAGTTCCTTGTTGTCAACAGTGATGACACTGGCCGTAACCAGCCGTGGGGGGCTGAAGCCCACTTTTTCAGCCAATTGCAGGAGATCCTTCCAGCAGAGTGCTCCAGCAAGGCACTCACCTGCAAAGATAAAACAGACTATGATATTCTGGTGGGTGCTTGTCAATTTATGGCAGTAGAATATTAATTAGACGCACCCCATAACACTTTGTGATTTTTAATTTCCTCTGTTAGTCTTCCATTGCTGTAAATGTCACTGAAGTACAGCTCACCACCATCCTAATGAGGAAAAATGAGAAAGTGTATGTAAATGTGTAAATATTTGCTTAGCTTTGCTCTCATAGTTTTATGATTGAAGATTTAATAACAATATTTAAAAAATGAGAAGCAGCGTACCTTAAGTACTTTGTAAGCTTCAGTCAGTACCAGCCTCTTGTCTGGAGAAAGATTCACCACACAGTTGGAGCTAAGCAAAAGCAGAAGATGTTCAAAACTGTTATTCTATGATTATATATTGTTAAACTGCACACAAAAAAGGATTAGTAAGACACCTTACATAATTACATCAAACGAGTCATTTTCCAGACCTGCCTCGGTCAAGGCTTCGATGTAGCCTTGGACAAAATTTATATTTGGCTTCTTGTAACCAAACTCTTTCATATGATGGTCCACATAGGTCCTGGCCAACTCCAGCTGGAATTTAAAAAAGAAAAAGAAAAAAAAAAGGTATTTATCAGAATTTATCAGTATCACTCAATAAGTCCAAAACTTTTTGGTTGTATTTAAGGCATGCATGCATACAGAACAGAGTTTTGTCTTTACAAATTAAGAAGTTGAAAAATCTTCACTTAGAAGATTTTAACAGCCTTAAATAGAGTTTTGGAGATATTCTGAGTTCAATTCAGTATCATTTAACCATCAGCTAGGATGCACCGATTAATCATAAGGCCAATGCAGCGATACGGATGTTCAATACCTGGCCATCAGTCATGTCAATACCAGTGACATGTCCCTTCTCACCCACAAGCTGACTCAACATATAGCAGTCCCTCCCACTTCCGCTCCCCAAGTCTAGTATCCTGCAGCCCTCTAAGCATTCTGGCACAACCAAACCACAGCCATAGTACCTGTGGGAGACAAAAACATATCAGGTTCACTGATTTTGAAGTGTGACTAGAAGAACAGAGAGGTCAGCAACCCACTAACCTAGCAGTGATTTCAGGGTGTACTTTCTTCAGTGCCTGGCGAATGAAGTCAGGGGTGGGCTGGACTGGAGCCACACAGGCATTGGTCTTTAGGTCTGAGGTTTTCTTCAGCCTCTTGCCATAATAATCCTTTTTTGACAAAAGAAATCTTGGTAACAGTAGCTCCTCATTATGAAGCAGACTATTTATTTATAAATAAACAGTTTGTTTGCTCCCGTTGTCTCAGCAACATAAATAAAATCCTTTGGGACCCATCTCACCATGATGATGCACTGTTTGAACATCTACCTTCAGGCAGACGTTTCAGAGCCATAAAGACATAATAGACTAAGGAGCTTAGTCTGTTAAGCTTTTATCCCTCAGCCATCAACATGCTGAAGACTGCTAAATTACGGACAACCAGATTCAATACAACTTACATATACAATGTTTACATTGTTACAGCATGATCTCATGTTTACATGTTTACAATTGTAGTTACCCTTGGTATTTAAGCTAACACCGGCAAACGGGAAGAAGCACAATATGGAAACGATTGTGTGTGTGTGTGTGTGTGTGTGTGACATAGATATATAGATAGATAGGTATATATACACTAATTTCTATTCTTCTTTTGCACTGAGGTAATTGCACCTCAATTTCCCTGTTTAATGTTTCATTGCTATAATGTCAATACAGATTGTGATTCTGATACTGTCTGACTCTGAGGCTGCATTGGAAACTGACCATACAAGCAATGGAACAAAACTGCTGGACAGACACCTTAATGAGCACAACTACGGCTAACATGTGTTTATTTTTAAATGACAGATGATCTGTACAAACAGATCATTTACTCATCAGGGGCCAGATCTGTTTTAACAGTTACATAAATACTGAAAATAGGCTAACAACACTCTGTCATGAGCAGTACCACTACCGACTGGTGTTATTTTACCTTCACATCCACGTGAATCGTGCTATCAGAGAATCCCTTTGGACACGTACTTTAAAAAGAGAAAAGAAAAAAGAAAACATGAGTTACAGATTAGCCCTCCAAATACACGTCAGTAAGTTAGCCTACGCCAAGTCACTGCTAGTTCTCTGCTGACTTAAACTGATGTAGCTTTAGTTACAAGTAAGGTCACATTACAAGATCACAAGTTATTTTAGTCTTTAACTTGACACTTTATCACTATTGTTTCTTTAAAATAACCGTGTACGTATCATAACAACATTAAAGGTGAAGGTTCAACCTGACACACGTCACTCGCTGAATTTAGAACAGCTGCAGCTTGAAATTGGACAATGTACAAGGATTAGGCTGTTTTTACCTCTTTCCATGGTCCATGGTTACATTACGTTCGCTTCCCAAGTAAAGGAAAATCTCAGTGTGCTGTCAAGTTTCCTTACTTTGAACGAACATTGTGCGTTTCACTTCCTGTTTTACCAGCGCGCCCTCTACTTGCCTCACTGCCTAACATAACAGCAACAATGTGACAGCATTTCACATTGTTGCTGTATTAATTCAATGCATTTGATTTGATTTAATAGAAACAAGGCTATCGATTTCATGGGGATTTCCAAGAGGAAGCATGGGACACTCCCACCAATCATTCAGCTCAATAATAATAGATAAATAATTAAAACTAGGAGTTACAGAATATAATAATATCATACTATATTATAATATTGCCTTCTTGTTAAATGGTAAGGTGCCTTCCATATGTGGTCAGTGACGGTTTATCAGTTTACAATAAAAACAGCTGTCCACCTGCAAGTAAACCGTTTTTATTATATGTGGCAAAAGTGCCACAGCTTCAAACTGGAACATACACAGCATTATAGGTGCATAGCAGCATAGCCCTTTCTGGGAGGCTACTAAAAGCCAAAATTCAAATTTTGACAAAGTTAGACAACCTTCTGGGAAAGTACTAAGGAGTGCTTGTGATATTGTACAAAATCCTAATTACATGTGTATGGGACTTTACACATATGCACTTCAGGGCCACTGAAGAGATGCCATCAGGCACCCCCAGGATGGACCCTGCCTTTCACCCAATGACAGCTGGGATAAGCTCCAATCAGCTTGTCAGTGGCTGATTAGCACCATTTGTTAGGAACCTTGACCTCTACAATAACATCACTCAGTAGAACTACTCTGAAATTAAGTCACGGACACAGTGATTGACTACAATTAAGCATTTTTATTGAACATACATCCATCTTAGTTGTCATAATAAATGGCTTATGTCAAGAAGTGCAAAACCACACACACTTATGAAGAAAGAAAAATGTCTTTGGCGAGATGCCCCTGATCTTGTTAACAAATTACCTACTGTACTGTTAGTTAAACGTACCCTTCACACAACTTCAGTTTAAGTCTCAGAAGAACTTAAGTCTTTCTCAACAAAAAAACAATAATACCCACAAGAAGAAGAAAAAAGAAAAAAAAGAATCTGTCCATAATGATAAAGCTAATGATTTCATAAAAATGATTAAAGCAACTATTTGGTTCATGAACATGTTACAGAATGTTGTACATGATTTGTAATATAAAGTGGTTTTGAGATTTTATACAGTTCCGTTATTTTTTTTCAAAGAATCAAACAATATGAAAAATAGCTCATCTTTTGACGACATGTACCACAATTACACAATGACATCTTCTAGCTTGCGGAAAGCATTAACGGATAAAGCACTTTCGAGTTTGTTTAGGCTTTGATGGGCAAAAGTCAATCAGCTTAACTGTTTATGCAGAAAGTTACTTTCCTTTTGTGCTGGAAATTCTGGGAAACCATTTTCTCCTCGAGCCGTAAAACTAACGGCTGAAACATTTGTGCTTTGCAGAATTGCAATTTGTGCATCTTTTCAGGTACTCCAAGTAGATTAATTGCATGGCATAATGGTGTAGTCTCATCAGTTGTGGCTACTTAAAGAGATTAGACATAGATTTCTTTGTGGAGGTTTCACAAGGCATCTTTTATTTGTGTTTATCATCTATGGCATACCACTAGAAGCTCAGGAGGCTAGATTGTCAGCATTCAAACTCCTAAAATAACGGGAACTGACAACTATATTCTTTTCCTCTACCACATTGTCTTTGTTTTGTAACAGCAGTGCAGCATTATACATATTGTACCATGCTGTACCATAATAGTCTCATAGAGATCCTGTTGTGCAACCGCTTATTTTTAAGATACTCTGGTATCCATAACAGCCAATGACTTATTTCATTACCTTATGCTCATGTCTAATAAGAAACTAATCTCTAATCTTCCCACTAATATGTACATGTATATATTTTTTTGACTGCTTATCCAACTACAGTTACAAGGTTACTGGAGCCTGCCATATCAGACATTATGTACATCCTGGACATGTCTCCATTCAAACTCAAACTTAGGGATAGAAATGTAAATTTACCAAAGATGGAAATTGAAGCACCATGACGAAAACCACACAAGCTCAGAAAGAACATGCAAACAGAGAAAGGCAGGTTCAAACTGCTCTGTTGGGTTAAATACTTATGTTAAAAGTAATTTGTGTGCAAACTCCTTGCTTCATAACCATAGCCTTTATTAAATCCTCATTTTAATACAAACTTATACGGGATGAATGTCTAAATGAAGAAAACATATATACATTAAAAGTAACATTTCCTTTCTTGATTGAACAGTACAAATGCAGATGACTGGAAATATAAACCCTGGTTTAAAAAAAAAAAAAAAAAAAAGAAGTCACTTTTCCAGTTGACTAAAATTAGCCTTAATGTGCCTTCAATGAGACGTTAAATGTTTCATGTATGAATAGCAAAGCTGAATAATGTCAAAACTGCGGTGATATAAAAATTCTATACAAATAGTGTTAAAAGTTATGTTGTTTTTTCACTGTAAAGCTGGTGAAGGTGATAATTCATTAAAGTGACTTTAAAATGTGAGGTGTGATGTTGCCCGTCTCACGTGTAATCTCTATGAAGCTTAACATTCAGTTCATGTTTTTGGTACCTGCTTTCTCTGGGTCTCTCAACATAATGGAAGCCTAGCATTGTCCATCAAATTTCTGCATTTTTAAGGGGGTAGGCACATACTACAAACATTCAACAAATCAATTTTAAAAATGATTGTATACAAAACAAATCTGCTGCATTCCTTACTAACATTTCAGAGGTCCATTTCTCACACATTACAACAAAACGGTAAGAAGGTAATTATCTACTGCTAATTTAAGACTAGATTTAAACAACCGTAGCATCTGCAAGATAAATACCATTTGTGCAAAAGAGGAACTGTTCTCATGAAGATTTGTTAATGCACTAACACTTCCCTATCACTAGTGAGACTTACGTAGCAACAAAAACAGACAAAAGGCAGCATGGTTTTGAACTGCTGAAAAAGCACTTTAGAAACATGAGTCTAACAGGACATCCCACAAAGTCTTGTTCTGACATCCCTGTACAATATCAGCTTACATAAACACATACTTTGGGTAAATCCACATCATACTTGTCCAAAAATGTTTCTGCTGTGTGTTGTTTTATTACATAGTTCACTACCTGCAGAGAACAAATAGCTTTGCAGAATTGTTGCAAGCACCTGGCAAAGAGAGCTACATTCATCCTAGGCAGTGAACGTCCTGTTCTGACAGCACAACTTCAGCCATCATATGTATCAGTAGCTTTTGTTGTACGAGAAGGGCAAATGAAGGACTCTGTGTGCGTAGTCTGAAGTCCCAATTGCCACAGGATATTAAAGGGCCTTACAGACCAAATATAACCCAAAATACACAGGTTAAGGCCACTGTTCCACACAGGAGCGTGCTTTTTCAACCTCTGGATCTCAGACAATTTTTAGCAGAGATCCTACTTGCTGCTCCCTCACTTCTCATTTGTTTTATCTAAGATGCACACATTCATAAAAAAGACTTAGAAAGCAAACACTTCCTGAAGTACAAAAACAGTGTAGTGCTCTCCTTCCCTCGTGACAAAGGTGTGTTAACTGTGCTTCAGCCCTGTGGCTCAGTGCTGGTGCTGTGTGCTGGTCCTTCCTGCTCATTGATGGTGTGGAGGAGGAGGCACAAAGGAGGGTTTAGGGAGCCACTACTTATCTGGTGAGCAGGCTGGGGACTTCCTGTTGGCCCACATCCAGGCCGCCTATCAACTTCCCCAAGAGCCTGCTCCTCCTCCACACAGAAGGAGGCCTGATGGCTGCAGCTGTCACAGAATTCACCTGCTTCCTCCTCTTCCTCGTCAGCTTTCTCATGCCCCAGAAGGCTCTCTAGCTCCCTTAACTCCTTGCTTTCCTGGCCTGTACTTCCAGCTCCACTACAACCACTGCTCCCACGTGTGCCACACACACACACCTCAATCCCAGAATCACCTGTAATTCGCCGCCTCCTTCCACTGGGGAGTCGCTCTTTGTCCTCAACACTACCATCTGACAGGCTGAGATCCTTCAGCAGGGGGTTCTTGCAGGAGTCATCCCCACTTTCGCTTAGTTTTTCCTGGTTGGAGAGTCCCTCTCTGCTAAGCCCTTCTGAGAGCAGTATCACGCCTGAATTTTGTGCCGTTTGCACGGACTTGGTGTCAGGCTTTGGCCTCAAGTCTAAGGTGGGAGGTTGTGGTTCCTCTATGGTGGGCCTACAACACAGGCTATCAGAGACTGGGGGAACTGGGGAAGGCTGAATGGCTGTACAGTGTCCTTGCTGCTGCTCAGGAGCCAGTGGACTAGAAGCCACTGAGGATGGGCTGGTCTGTAAGGCACTGTAGGGAGGGGGAGGAGTCGGCGGCCGGTTGACCACCTCTTCATATTCAGGTAGGAGGTAGTTTGGCAGAAACCCTATAGGAAAAGAAAAAAAAAATGCTTTAAAAAGGCTATAAAAGCACATGAATAAATACATGCCATGCACACCACTGATTATACACACAGGTTTCTGACCTGCCAAAAGAAAAAAAAGACACTTTGACCTCACTGAACTCCCCAGACCAGAATTCAAACAGTTCCAAAACAAAGCAATAGGGTAAAAACGTGACAACAAAAGCTTATTTGTGGGTCAAGTGTGTGCTGAGGGCCATTGTAATCTCACGTTACAACAGTGGCAAGTTACCAAGACAACAATGTTGGTCATTTCCTGTAAACTGAAGCATGCAAACAGGGAAGGTTCTGGCAACACCACAACATGTGGAACCATAGAAAGAGTTCCCTGTAAACTGCATCTGTGACAGGTTCCACTGTGTAGTAGGTGCAAAGCCATTTCTTTTAACGAGTTTAAGAATAGTATGTGTGGTTTTTTCAGTAAAGCAGCTGCAGCTATCAGTTATTTTATTAATCGAGTAATCTATTCAT